AAAGAGTGTGGTGTCATGTGGGAGCTCCCAAATTAACTGGGGTGGCATGCTGTGTCACCCTGGCGGGAAATCCCCAGGAATCAGGAGGAAGGACTGTTCATCCGCAAAGTAACTTCGGGTTGGGCAGGCTATAAAAATGTGACTGCTGAACACGTTTGGCTCGGGTTTAACCTTCAGCTGTGCCTCCTTCCAGATCCTTGCAAAGCTCTCTGTGTGTGTGTATGCCCACGTGATCTGAAAGATGACTGCACCTGGTGAGATCATAGCTGTCCGTGCACTTTCACACCACTTCTTGATAAGCCTTCTGCATCCTCTGCACAGATTATGTATCTCTAAACTCATTTCAAGGTGACAGTCAACTTAAGGTTACTCAGATTCTGCTTTGACGACGTGGTCTTTGGAACAAGACAGAAAGCTGTCATCTAGGGGGGAAAGCAGGGTTCCCGCTTTGCCCTGTCTGCACCTTGAGATGATATATGCCAGGTGATAAATCCAGAGAAGCAGCTGGACTGCAGTTTTAAAGCCACTTTCCTGGGAGTCAGGCCCATTGAATACAGTGGGATTTAATTCTGGGTAGACAGGCGTAGGGTTGCTCTCAGCCTGCAGCCAATAAATCGTAGGCGCGGGAGTGAGGGCCGCCTAAGAAAACCACCTTCTGCTCCAGATAATTCTAGATGGGTTTGTCTGGAGCAGCAAAGTAAAACAGAATCCCCACTCCTCCACATGCTGGTGTGACCTTGGGTCAGTCATAAGCTCTTTCAGAGCTGTTCTCTCAAGGGCAGTTGTTGAGGGAGCTCTCTCAGCCCCACCTACCTCACAGGGTGTCTTTTGTGGGGAAGGGAAAGGGATTGTAAACCACTCTAAGACTCCTTCGGATAGTGAAGGGCAGGGTATAAATCCATCTCTTTTTCTTCTTCAATTGGGTGTATGATGAAGAAGATGTCAAACCAACCAAAGGTAACTGTAATGGGGGTTTGAATGGAAAAATAGCCAAAAGGAGATGAAAGAGAAAGAAAGCCCTTCTCCCAATAATTCCAGGTGAGTAGCCATTTTAGACACGAGTAGCAAGGTAAAACAGGAGTCCAGGGTTAAAGATTAACATTTATTCCAGCATAACCACACCTGAGTCAGAGCTCTGACTTGGAGAAGATTATGCCAGAATAACTTTTCTTAAGGCTTCGCTACATGTTACAGTTTTTTGACTTGCGGGTAGACAACAGGACGACTTTGCAGCAGGTGAGCAATAGGAGTTTTGCGCCTCCGGATGCGCGCTAACCCTTTTCTACTCATGACCAAAGGGCAAAGGAGAGTCAGCCTTTAACACACACCATTTCCGCATCCCCAGACCACCCTGTGTGGCCACAATAGGTTTGGGCACAAAATCACATTTCTTAACATGGCTGCATAAGCGCAAACCTGGGAGGCACAAAGCTCCTGTCACACACACAATGGGCTTCAAGTCCTCATGTTGTCCACCAACCAACACAAGAAATTTGTCATGTGTAGCAAGGCCCTGAGCCTTGAAGGTGCCATGGGACTTCTGGGTTTTTTTCCTGCTCTTGGACAACACCTAGGTAAAGGTTAAAGTTTCCCTTGCTCGAAAGCTAGTCGAATCCGACTCTAGGGGGTGGTGCTCATCTCCGTTTCCAAGCCAAAGAGCCAGCGCTGTATTTCTTGCAGCTGCTAGGTTGGCAGGAGCTGGGGCCAGAGGGGAGTTCACTCCGTCACGCAGCATTAGGGTCTCAAACTGCCAAACTACAGACCTTCCAGTCTGCAGCTCAGTGTCTTAACCTCTGAGCCACCACGCCCCCCGGGCAACACCTATGTTAACCCTAATATGGGATTCTCAGGATCAAGGGAAAGGAATTTCCTTCCTATCGTATTGCACCTGTGGTAGTGCAACCTCCAACACCAATTGGCTGCTCAGGACAAAGTGATTTGTGGGAGGGAATAGTGTCATTTTGGCTGGGATTAAATCCACTCAGGCTCTAGGGTTTTTAAAATTTATTTTATTTGCATTATTTATTGTCTGTCTTCCTCCCTGGGACTCAAGGGGGATTACACATAGTGAGTCAGTACAATCGACAAAATGGGACATTCAGAAACCAGCGCATGAGGATTTTAGATGTCTGGGACCACCAGAAAGAACCGAAGGATAGCAGAAGTGTTCACAGGACCACATTAAGTGGTACAGAAACTACATAAATAGGATCGTACTTAACAATAAACTGATGCACAGCAGTAGAGACCACAATCCTTCATAATTTATCCAAGCAAGTTTTAAAACCGTCTTGTACAGTACAATCCTGTTACCAGCAAAGAAGAGCCCTCTTGAATCGTTCAGTTTTGCATAGTTTGCAAAAAGCCAGGCAAGCCGGAGCTTTCCTGACCTTCTTGGGCAGGCCATTCCACCAAGTGGGAGCCACAACGTATTAGAAGCAGTTTTGTGGGACAGGTGGGGAAGGATCTCAAGGAGGAAAGCTGAGCGGGAACTCGAGGAAATATCTGGGAGACGAGTGCAGAATGGGCAATTAACTAAGAAATGGGGAAGTTGGTGAAGGAGCAGAAGGTGGTGGGGAAGGTGGAGGGGACAGGGCTTTGGGGTAAGGGCATGGAGAAGAAACTCTCAGCACTTGGAAGCTGAAAGAGGCTGTCTTTCTGGGGAGAGTGAGATGGGAGCGCAAGGGAGCCTAAAGGAGTTGTAGAGGTCAGTGTCGGACCAAAATGACCAGGGATCAGATTGTCACTTGGCCATGAAGCTCATTGGGTTCATCACTCTCACAGCCTGACCTACCCACACATAGAATGGAGGAAAGGAGAACAATGTTGACTGCCCTGAGTACCTGGGCAGAAGGACAGGCTAGAAATGCACGAGACAGATGGAGGCTGGCCAAGAGCAGGTGGGAAATGCCGTCGAGTCACAGCTGATTTATGACAAGCCTGTGGGGTTTTCAAGGCAAGAGACTAACAGAGGTGGTTTGCCATTGCCGGCCTCTGCGGAGCAGCAATTGACCTCTTTGGTGGTCTCCCACCTAAAAACTAACCACGGCTAACCCTGCTTAGCTTCCAAGATCGGACAAGATTCAAGCTCGCATGGGCTATCCAGGTCAAGGCCAAGAGACTTGGTGGCCAAAGGAAGCCAAACAAAGCCTGCAGGGGGCTAAAAAGCAAAGACCCCACTCAAAAATGGGTGGTAGAAAAATGAAGAAAGGAGGAGCCGAGAGGCCCAGACAAAAGCCTCATATTGGTGGAAGTCCCAGTACCCCCAGAAGGCCCAAAAGGTCAGTGTGACTAACCAAGGAATTGAACTTACTCCAGAGAGAAAAACAGTCGTCAGCTTCTTGCTAACATACTATTTAATTGAAGTAACCAAAGTAAAATACGAACAAAGAATAGAACCAGTTGTATTTTTAAAAAATACCAAAAAAATAATTAAAGTAACATTCCTTGTCTGCTCACCAAGCCCTACAAGAGGGGTTGTTGAAGAAGCAGCCCCAAACGTCCAATTTCATACTATTTTATACTCTCCTGGTCAACTAGAGGATACAGTGCAAGATGCCAAGCAGAATGGGGTGGTCTGTGATGGGAACCAGACCCCCCCACGCCTTACCAATGGTAAGATCAGCAATGAACTTTTACCTAGATACATACTTTTTGCCCTGTTCTCTTCAGATATACCACTGCAGTATTGCGATGGCTCACATCACTGTGATTCACATCTTTTCCCCACCACAATTGTTTGGCCGCAGGCTTCTAATATTACTTAACATGATACGGCACAAAGCCCCTGGCATGGGGATTGAGTTCTAGGACTGAGCTGCAGTGAATTCCATCTCTGCTTAACAATCCTGACTTTGGGTGCATTCCCATAACCAAAGGCAAACCATGTTATTGGATTCCTAGAAGAGCAGTTTTCTAGCAGCTATTAGTCATGATAAGCAAATAGAACCTCCGCGTTCCAAGGCTGTGCACCTCTGAATACCAATGTTGGGGTCAACAGAGACCAAGCTGTTAAGTTCCCTAGAACTTTTCACCCAGGAAGCTTGTACAATGCAAGTGAACAAAAATAAAGATGTGTGGGGCATGATGGACAAGCTCCTAGTCAGTAATTTGTAGGATATCAACGTGAAATACAGGATTTGTCAGTCACAGACTGAATCCAATTATTTATTTATTTATCATTCAATTTATATCCCGCTCGAATCCCGAAGGGTCTCTGAGCGGCTTACACACAATCTTTGGTTCCCAACTAAGGCCACAATTATAAGGGGGGTGACTTCCTACCAGCACCCGGCAGCAGGCCTTGTTGTTGTTGGAATCTGGCTTCTTCCGGCGGCCTCGGATGTCGGTGCTCTACTTCCAATGTCCTGGGGCAGATTTCTTCCGGTTCCGCGGCTTCCTCCAGCGGGCTCCTCCAGTGCACAGCCCCGCGACCGCCGCAGCTCCGACCATTGTCCCTTTCGGCTCCATCGCGCTGTGCCGACATGCCGCCATACCTCCATGGTTCCGCCTCTGCCGTATTCTGCCACTCATGCTGCGCTCGCAGGGCACTCCTCAGCCGCTCCATCGCTCCACTTTGCCACTCCGCCATCGGCGGAGATGATCCTGGGTGCAAAACAGAGGGCAAGACGTTCCACGCGTGACTAGGACAAAGCACAAGAACTGAAATGGCCACTCTCCTTTTAAGGGTGTAAATGCCGGTAGTTAAGCATGTATCCTTGGGTTGCCAGCTCTAGATGAGAAAACCCTGGAGATTCCAAGGGTAGAGCCTGAGGATGGCAGGGTTTGGGGAGGAGCGGGACTTCAATGGGGTATGATGCCACAGAGTCCTCCTTCCCAAGCAGCCATTTGCTCCAAGTGAACACACCTCTATCACCTGGAGATCAGTTGCAATAGATAGCAGGAGATCTCCAGCTGCCACCTGGAGGCTGGCAACTCTAATGTCTCCCTAGTTTTAATCAGGAAAAGTTCCGCTCCCTTGTAAGGCAAAGAGTGGAACTGAAATGTGAGAGTCAACGTGGTGTAGGAGTTAGAGTGTCAGACTTGTATCTGAGAGACCCCAGGTTCCGATCCCCTCTCTCTCACGAAGCTCACTGAGTCACCTTGGACCAGCCTACCTCCCAGGGCTGTTCTGAGGATAAAATGGAAACAAGAATGAGGTGCGCTGGAGGAAGGGTGGTATGAAAATGTACTAAATATGTAATCAAATAACTCTGACAAAAGTGAAGAGTAATGTATGTGGTGCTCAAGTGAAAGAGCACAGAATTTGGATTAGGTAGTAATCACCTACTGGCTGGAAGGCAAAATAACAGCTACATTCAAAATATGGAAGGTCAGATTTGAAGATCGTCTTCCTTCAGTTCAGTAATGTTTTCTCACAAAACATGAACAAATAAAGGTGAGACATTATGAGGTTGTGCTCATATACATAAATGCTTGGAAAATAACAGCTTTAAAATGGGGGGGACAAAAAACAGCTTATGCTGGAATATAGTAAACATTTGATAGTGTTTTGTGTTGATTTTTTTCTTTTCAGATAGATTCAGGTGGGTAGGTGTTGGGTCTGCAGGAGCAGAGCAAAATTTGAGTCCAGTGGCACCTTTAAGACCAGCAAAATTTTATTCTGGGTGTAAGTTTTCGTGACTCAAACCTTGCTCCTTTTCTGTTTTCGTGACTCAAACCTTGCTCCTTTTCTTTTTAAGAAACTACTCTGTGACAGTTGAAAGTAATTTCTTCTAATAACTGTAGGTTTATAACTAGTAGGCAACGTTCTAGATACTAATAATAAGCAGAACACGAAGAAAAACATGAAAATGAAAGAGCTCTAGGTCTTCGTGTCCTTATATAAAACTGCACTAAAAAAATTAAATGAAAAGGTTCAAATCAGATGGGTGCTGTGCCCCGTCGTAACAATTGGGACGGCACATTTCACGCAGCCGCATGCACAACCCACTCATCACATTTAAGAACCTGAAGGATCGCCGCCTTGTTCTCGCCTCCGCTGAGCCAGTTGGTGCCGCGGACTTTCCCGTCACAGTGACCTTGTCCCCGGTCCCTCGTTCCTGGCGGCGCTGCCATCGCAGCTTCATATTCGAACATAAAACAGATTTCGTGGTCTTCACTTTGGCTCCGTGGTCTACATAGGTTCTGATTTCTCACAAACAGCTGGAAACAAGAACTATTCTTACGTATGCTAATATATTCATCAGTGGCTCCTCCCCCTCTACCACTGTTCCAGAAGCGGTTTGCGACAGGGCCGGGGAAACCTTTGGTGGTTTACGGCAGCAGGAGAATGTGGTGGGCCGTTGGGCGGAGCTCCTCTTCCCCCTTCTTTATGAGAGTGAATCCGCCCAAAATCGGAAATAGGAGCTTTCTAGGAGAGGAATATATATATTTATATATAAAAATGAGGGACAAAAGGAGTCATCATACAAACTATGTGCTGTGACGTCACCGATACTTCCGGTTAAAAAAAGAAAGCCGCCATTGGTTATAATTCTGTATTGGTTGTTTCACTCTAGCCCGTTACATCTCCATGGTGAAATCCCTTTATGGAATATGTTGGCGAAGGACTTTATGGAATGTTAAAGTGGGTGGGATTAAGGTCTCTATGGTTGGAGCGCCTGAAAGAACTTGAGCTTCCGGCTTCCGGACTGAAAGCCGCCTTTGGCCATGATGCTTAGCGGGGGCGCTCTGTCGCTGAAGAACTCTATAGTGAGCGCTCCTCTGTATGTGCCTGGCGTTGGAAATAGCAGTGGTAACCAATTCTGTGTGACACCGGATGCGTCTGTCAAGACCGCAGCCCCTTGGTTGGCTCCCCTTGGGAAAAACGGAGAGAAAGCTAAGCGGGGGGAGGGAGAGAATGGGAGACGGGTGTCACATGGAGGACAGCAAGCGTGGGAAGTGCGTGAAGTGTCTCTTTTAGAATACAGTCGCACGGGGAGGCCGTTCAGAGCCATGGAGCGACATTCCCTGCTGAATTCTCTGCAGCTGACCCTCCCAGAGGGGCAGGGAGCCCTTGAGTACCCCCCAGTAGAGCAGGTTCTCCCCCAGTTTCTGCAGCTTTTTGCAAGCGTGGGAGCCCAGCAGGCTGGTAGCAAAGCCAGGACAGGAATGGTCAGAGACCTCTTTGCCATCTTGGAGGCCGTAGACTGCCAATGGCTGTTGGGGGGCCGCCAGGGGAATTCCACCCCACTTGTCCTTAGAGACTTGGTGGTTGCACTGAGCACCTATGCAGCACTACCCCAGCAGGAACATGATGGGGGAGAGCTCCCCAGCAAGGACCCATCCTATGCTGCTGCAGCCGATCGGGCAGCAGATGTCAGCCTGGTTTTCCGGAGCATCTTGGCTAAGATGGAAGAAGCAGCAAAAGGCTCAGAGGAACTGGGGTGCAAGGTGGTTGGCTCGTTCTTGTGCCAAGTGGCGGGGCCCATGTATATTTTTGCTGTGACTCATGCTGCAGAGAAGCCATGGAGCAGACCGAGGACTCGATCGCTGGCCCAGGAGCTGCTGGAAGGTTTGCTTCAGGTTTGGGGCTGCCAGTCAGTCCCTGAGTTTCTCAGAGGGGCCGCTGAAGATGAAGAGGGTTGGTTTGCAGTGGTGATGCAGTCCCTGAAGCCAGAGTTGACCAAGTGAGTGGAAGCCCACTGAAGGGACATTATGGAGACAGAGGGAGGAAACTAGGAGATAAGGACTTGGGGAGTTGGTTCGCACACCTGTGCTTTCTGTCCTGAATCCTGTGACAGCTGATATTCCCAGTAAGCTGAGCACTGAGCATTTCTCCCAAACTGGTTCAGCTTAATCTTGGGCAATTTCCGTTTCCCTAATGCTATCCTCAAATGGACCAAAAAAAAAAAGCATTAGATATTCCTACAGAGGTTTTCCAGGGGGATGCAGTTTAGTTCTCTGTTGTTCATGTGCTGTTTCTTCAAGGCAGCACATTTCCAGCCACCTCTAAAGCATCAAAATTGCCCCCTTCCCTTCTGGTCCCAGAGAATCAGAGACCTGAATATGTACAGAGCCTGGTACATATGAAATGTTTTGTCATGTGACTGTATCATCACAGACCATCAGATGGAGACAAAGTCCATATATTTTTGACTTGGCCATATGCCCGTGGTCCCCATTAAGCCCTCCCCCAAGTTCTCCGCCTCTCATATTTTGGTAGAATTTGAAGGGAAAGCAAAATGATGAAAGTCTCTGCATCTATGCAAAAACACTGCTCAAAATGAACCAAAACAAATCCTTTCAATCGATATCCTTGTTTTTATCACAGGACCTAGGGGTGAGTATTGCCTCTCATTTTGTTCTGGATTTTGAAGGGAGGCAGAAGCAGCAGTGATGGTGGCCCCCAATTTAGGAAAATCGCCCTCCCCAAGGTCTGTGTTGTTTCCCAGAACTCATTTTAGTGGCAGACAAGCACTCCTTTGTCACCAATTATTCGGAAATTAGTTAGATAGTTACCGTTGTCTTTGTGTGTGTATTGCTGTATTCTGTTTTGGCTATTTTACACTTGTACCTTCGTAAGCTTTTTGTTGAAAGGGTATAAAAAACTAAATGAACACCACACAATTTCTGTAGAGAGGCAGTGAGATGAGATCCCACTGATTTTTTCCCCCATTTCTTAGGGGACTTCAGGCAGACTCTTTCATGTCAGGATTCTTAGTTTATATGTATTTATTTGCTTCATTCATAGCCCACCTTCCTCTCTAAGATTCAAGGCAGATTACAAAACACACACACACAAAAAAAGATCAGACAGCATCCAGTAGAACTCATTTTAGTGGCAGACAAGCACTCCTTTGTCACCAATTATTCGGAAATTAGTTAGATAGTTACCGTTGTCTTTGTGTGTGTATTGCTGTATTCTGTTTTGGCTATTTTACACTTGTACCTTTGTAAGCTTTTTGTTGAAAGATGGTATAAAAAACTAAATGAACACCACACCATTTCTGTAGAGAGGCTGTGAGATGAGATCCCACTGATTTTTTTCCCATTTCTTAGGGGACTTCAGGCAGACTCTTTCGTGTCAGGATTCTTAGTTTATATGTATTTATTTGCTTCATTCATAGCCCACCTTCCTCTCTAAGATTCAAGGCAGATTACAAAACACACACACACACAAAAAGATCAGACAGCATCCAGTAAACAATGCAGAGTAGGACTAGGAGTGCAGAGCTGGAAACAAACTCAACCTGTTTTAGGCATGACACACAATAGTGCAGAAAGGGTATGCTGGACTTGTCCCATTCTGACTTGTTAGTGATACGTGGAGAACTCAGAGAAGAAAGAGGGTATCTACTGTTTGTAAGGCAAGTGATCACCACAACGGAAGGTATGAGCCCCACCGGCAGCCATTCTTAGTAAACCGTTACATGTAGACAAAACTGTCCATCTGAACTACCTCAGTTTGGTGTAGTGGTTAGAGCCAGTTTGGTGTAGTGGTTAAGTGTGCGGACTCTAATCTGGGAGAACCGGGTTTGATTCCCCACTCCTCCACTTGCACTTGCTGATGTGACCTTGGGTCAGTCACAAGCTCTGGCACAGCTGTCCTTGAAACAGAGCAGTTTGTGTCAGAGCTCTCTCAGCCCCACCCACCTCACAGGGTGTCTGTTGTGGGGAGGGGAAGGGAAAGGAATTTGTAAGCCGCTCTGAGACTCCAAGTGAAGAGCGGGGTATAAATCCAATCTCTTCTTCTTCTTTATCACCGTGAATGGAAGTTCATTAAAGTTTTACTAAAATGCTTCTACTTGTGTGAAGGTGGCCCCTTAACAAAACCTATGTATGCTTTTTGGCAGAAAAAGGACTACAGTCCCTAGGAATTTTGTATTGTTCTTCAGCTACCCCATCCCATTGAGGCCTTGGAGATGGGAAGCCCTTGCAGGTGGTTCTCTGGGCCTGATCACTGCTCACTTGCTGTCTCTCTACAAGTGAAAAGCATTCACATGTCCCATTCTGTTCCTTTGGGAAACCTATCTGAAGGTGCTTCAGGCTGCATACTCCCAATCAATGTTCATCCATTTCTGCCGAGTCACCATCATCACCTTGTGGGTAAACGAGTGCTTTGCTTGAGATTAAAGCATGTTCAATGTTGAAAAGGTCCATTTCCACCCTCTGGTTGGTTCACGGTTACGTCAGATGCCTGGATGATGTGATGGGACCTTGGGAATAACCATTATTTTCGGTCTTTTCCAGAGAAACATGGCAGCGCAACCCAGCCACAAAGCACGTGTTTTCATGGACGCTCCAGCAGGTCACTCGGCCCTGGCTTGGCCCCCATTTGGAGAAAGTTCTGCCGCCATCGCTGCTCCTGTCAGATGACTACCGGATAGAAAACAAGATCCTGGGCGTGCAGTGCCTGCACCATATCATTCTTAATGTGGTAAGGAATTCACAGTGCCCTCCCCACCAGCACTGCAGGCATTGTGAATTGGGACCCTACATTGTGGGAGAACACTGAGAAGTGGCTTTATTGCCTCTTATCTGATACATTTTTCACCCTACCCTTCCTCTAAGGATTTTAAGGTGGTGGTTGTGTCTCTGTCTTCCTCGTTTTATCCTCCCACCGGCCATGTGGGATAGGTAAGGCTGAGAATGACTGCCCCAAGGACATTCAGCAAGGCTGATGGAAGTAGGAAATCCAGGGTCCCAATCCTAGTCCATTATTATGCCATTTTCAGTGTTCTATAAAGTATGACTTAATATCCAAATGTGCTGGTAATCCTATAATACACATTCTTTGGTTTACTAGAGAATTTATTTTCTCGCTCAATTTCTATTTTTTCCTACTTGTCAGATGGCAAAAACTAAGGAAAATGTGCTATTGTAGCGTAAGGTAAAGCAATATGCAACACTTTCTAAAATATTGGGTGTATTTGTGATTTGTGTGAATGAAATGAAAACCCTTATACTTTTAAATTCCATAAATGTACCTAATGGTATAATTTTATATGCTAAATTATGAATTATAGTTTTTATGCTAAATCAGTAAAAGCAGCTTAGGTTTGGCAGGAGAGTTAGTGTCATATATATTTCATTTCCCAAAAAAATTTCTGCTTTTCTGGGGGCGGGGGGGAATTCCATGACTTCAAACTTTCCAGAAACCTTACATCTCTGCCTGGAAGGAAATGCTAAAGTATTTGGGACTTCTTAGTTTTTTCCATCTCACATAGTAATAGAACTGGGGGAATCACAGATAAATAAACTTCACACAAAAATGTATGGAATTTATTGCCAGAAAAAGATTGTGGTAGCCATTGAGTGAAGTCAGAATTACTGTATTCCCACTTGTATTTCTGCTTGTGCAAGAGTTTATGCAACCAGTTTCTGGGCACTATAATATATAAGGAGGAAAGTACCAGGTGTTGAACAAAATCTTGTGCGAGAAGAACTGTGCTAAGTCCTTTTATGTTTCTACTTGCACATTACTAGATCCAACTCCCAGTATTCAATGTATTATTAAATTAATAGGAGCTATGACAAATATCCTGCACTAGGCATTTGTGAAAGTGTGGAGATGACATTGATGTGGAATTGTTTGTTTTTATTCTGTTCTTGGAAATACTTTGGGGAATGAGGGCCCTCAGTGAACCAGTTTCCAAATCAGCAAGGCACAAGAGATGAGCTTGGGGCAGGCTAAGAAATTAGACTTGAAAAATTGGGCCTGGACCAAGAGGGAATGTGTGAGTTGCACATGCAGTGTTTTTGCTTAGGATGAGAGAGAAAGATGGTTGGATGAAAATGTTTGTTAGCTTTCTTTTCAAACAAATGAGCCCTAGAATGGGGGTTGAGTATAAAGGTGGGGGATAATCAGAAAGTCGTAGCGGCTTAATGGTTAGTGGGTCAGACTAGGACCTAGAAGGTCTGGGTTCCAATCAGTGTTCCCTCTAAGCTGGTTTAATGTGAGCTAGCCCAGTTTTTTAGCCTCCAGCTCACACATTTTTGTCTTCGCTCAGGAAGGATGGCTCCAGAGTCAACTAATTTATGCAGTAGCCAAATGGCTCACTCACAACTTTAATGCCAGTAGGTCACAAAGTAGAATTTTTGCTCACAAGGCTCCACAGCTTAAAGGGAGCACTGGTTCCAATCCCCACTCAGCCATAAAGCTCATTGGTTAACATTCTGTCAGCCTGACCTGCCTCACAGAGTTGTTGTGAGGATAAAACTGAGGAGGGAGAACCAAGTATGCCCTAAAAGGTGCATCAGTCAGATGCTTCCTTGGTTACAGCTGTGCAAGCCAAAAGTACAGAACTGCAGTCAGCCTTTAGGATAGAGTGGGGGTGTATATCCAAACAATGATGTGCCAGGGTAATCCCAGTGAACTGATAACAGGAGGAAACAATGCTTAACTCTTTTAAAAATGGCTTGCTGGATGGGAGCCCATGTCCCACTGGTCCAGCACAGCTTTCAACAGCAGCCAGTCGGATTCCCTGGAAACTTCCAAATGGTTCTGGAGGCAATAACCTGCCCATTCATTCCAAACATTTGGTATTCACCAGTGCCTTTAGTGGCACTTCCTCCATTTTGTTACATATTTAGCATCACCTAGTGTCCTGGGGTATAGAAGAGGGATGGAACTTTGTCTCTTTCGAGGAATGCCTGTTTGCAAAGGAATGCATCCACCGCCCAGCAAGCCCCGTTGTCCCAACGGCTTCCTCTCATTGCAGCCAGGAGCTGATCTCTGCCAGTTCAACCGGGCACAGGTTGTGCACCACGCCCTCTCCAACCACATCTACAGCAAGGAGGCCCGGCTCATGCAGGTAACCTGAGGGGGTTGAGTGCATGTGCACCCCTATCCTCTACGCTCTGTGCTGAACTAGCCAGATTGGTGGGCCAAGGATAAGGCTCGCTATCCTCTTCCCTCCCTGCTTGCCAGCCTCTGAGGTTAGATGCTGGCTACTCCCTGGCGGTTTCCTGGTTTTGAAAAAGAGTTGGTGGCCCTAAGGTCATGACTGCAGTTTCTAAGGGCAGATGCTGCTCTGACAGTGCAACCGTAAGCAGAGTTATACCCTTCTAAGCCCACCGACGTTTAATAATTGACATCAGTGGGGTCTACTTCCAAGCCACTTGCATCTAGGGTCAGGATGTATGCAAGTAGGAAGGGAGCAGAAGTTTAAAGTACTCTAGGATAGATCAACCTGTCACAGGGAGCCAGGGAAATGGGTCGTATCCCCCGTCCCTCCCCCAATTTTATGTGGTCCTGGGTTCAGGATAAGAGTGCTGCCCGATTGTGTACACATGAAGCTGCCTTATGCTGAATCAGACCATCTGTCCATCAAGGTCAGGATTTACTTAAGACTGGCCATGGCTCTCCAGGGCCTCAGGTGGAGGTCTTTCACATCATCCGCTGCCTGGTCCTCTCCACTGGAGACACAAGGGCTTGAACCTGGGACCATCTGCATGCAAAGCAGAGGCCGACCCAGTGAGCCACTGCCCCTTCTCTACTACCCTCCGGAGAAACATACTTGAAAGCCCATTGATTGAACCTCATCCTCATTACTAAAACAGATTGTGTTGCCATGCTTACTGGACTTGCTGCCAATCTTGGAAAGGGCCCCTGGACGGCCGTCCCGCCAGCCTCCATCCGCTGTGCCCTCTGACAAGGTGCTCCGGCTGGTCTTGACCCATATGGAACCGGAGCACCAGCTCGCTCTGCGGAGGGTGTATGCCAAGAACCTGCCCGCCTTTGTCGAGAGGTGAGGGATGCATCTGCCAGCCCTTCCCCTTTTATACTTTGCTTTTATTAATTTTCTGTGCAAGCTTCTAATCCCCCAACTAATTCCCTCGAGAGGCTGGGCATCCACATAGCCCGTCATCTGAAGCGGCTGCAGCGGGTGATCGTGGGATACCTGGAGGTTTACGATGGACCAGAAGAAACGGCTAGACTGGCAATGTTGGAAACACTGAAGCGGACCATACAGCACGCCTGGCCCAGGTAATTTTATAAGCCTGCACTACTCTTAAAAAAAAAAAAAAGGACTCTAAATTTGTTCTGCTCAAAAATCTGTATGCTTCTGTAGTTGCATGGTGCTCCCTGGCTTTAAAAAAATCTCTCCTTAAAAAAATAAACCTTTGAAACCTGCCCCCTTTGATAGTTTGAGGGTAGCCGTTTTGGTCTGCACTGAAACAGCTAGATTCAAGCCCAGTGTCACCTCAGAGACCAACAAGATTTCCAGGGTGTAACCTTTCCAGAGTCAAAACTCCGTGCTGTCTGACAAAGGCTCAAACCCTGGAAATCTTGTTAGTCTCCAAAGTGCTGCTGGACTCGAATCTCGCCACTGTTCTCCCTCTGAGTGACTGTCAAAAAGCAGATATAGGTTGGCTCTAAGCTGTTCTGCAGAATGTGCTCGAGCTCCTCTCCTCCCACCCGAGACTGAAATGTTGGCAGAGTCGCAACAGTGCAAGTGACTCCTGATGTGCTTCTCAGTTACCCTGGCCCATTGGTATAGTGGACTCCCATCCTTGACTCAGACCTCTGAGCTCCTTCCTACCATGGGGGGAGGGGGGGGAGAGATCACTAGGCCCCTGGGCCTCCAAAGGCTAGGAGCTCCCTTTGAAAGCAAAGTGTTGCGTGCAGCAGGAAGACATGCTTGGGAAGTATCCATGTTACAATTCAGCAAGTGCTGAGATGCCACCCTACAGACAATGGCTTACGTTCCATCTTGCAGGAAGCTTAGAACTGGGTTCCCCAACCTTTTATGAGCCTGTAGGAACTTTATGGTGGATGCAGCCATAAAATGGCTGCTGTTTACCTTCAATCACAGTGAAAACCCTTGAGCTGCGGTGGGTAGCTGCTGCCAAAACTGCATTTTTTAAAAATCTGCATGGCCAATCAAATCTCCAGTGACCAATAGCCTCACCTGGCCCCAGACACTTTCTGGAAAGGTGTGGGCAGGCACCATGGCACCCCCAGGCACCATGTTGGGAACCCCTGGCTTAGAGCACCTTCTGCTTGTCCTGGACCTCTCGGTGGTCTAGCCAGTTTGGTGTAGTGGTTAAGTGCCTGGACTCTAATCTGGGAGAACCTGGTTTGATTCCCCACTCCTCCACTTGCACCTGCTGATGTGACCTTGGGTCAGTCACAAGCTCTGGCACAGCTGTCCTTGAAAAAGAGCAGTTTCTGCCAAGAGCTCTCTCAGTCCCACCCACCTCACAGGGTGTCTGTTGTGGGAAGGGAAAGGAGTTTGTAAGCCGCTCTGAGACACCTTTGGGTAGTGAAGGGTGGGGTATAATCCAATCTCTTCTTCTTCTTGGTGGAATGGCTTCCCTTCAGCATGTTGGTGATCCCCCCCCCCCAGCTACTAGTTTTTCAGAAGCTCCGAAAACAGAGTTATCTGAAAACTGTAGTCATTTGACTGGGGCCGGCTCTCCAGATCAGAGTTTAGAATGGCCCTGAAGCTGGGCAATGCTAGAAAAATAACACTATGGTGGTTCCACTCCTATTTAGCACAGTAACCCACCTTCCCAGTTCAGGAAGGCTTCAAGTATTAAACAGGGTACGATATTCAGCTTTGCTGGTAGTAAGCAGCAGCTGCCAGGCTGCATTTGTGTTCCTAGATCCTCCTGGGATACAAGCTGGCTCTGCAGACAGCTTTGCCCATCGCACTGAGCCTCGTTCACCATCTCCTCCTTTCAGGATGACGACCCGTCTCGCGGTCCTGCTCCAAGCTCTGCTGAGGCTCATGTGGGACACAGTCACCGACAGGAGCCCAACCCCTGAGCCAGTAACGGCCGCTTTGCTGCAGGGGGCCACAGAGTGCCTTCTCTTGCTGGATCGGTGTTCCCACGGCCAGGTGAAGGTGAGTGAGACCAAGAGAGGCATCTGATCTAGGGGAGGAAATAAGCAGCCTCAGGGGTTTTAAACAGGAGAGCAGACAGCTGTGCAGTATCTGCAAGAGGGTTCTGACTTGTGACTGTGAATCTGTCTTCACCTGCTAAAATGCAAGGGGTGAACTCTCTCCGTCACAAAGTGGGTATACATGTACCTGTTCATAAGGGAATGGGGTAGGCTAAGTGGTGGAGTATCTGCTTGGCATGCAAGACAGTCTCAGGGTCAATCCATGGGATCTCCATCTAAAAGAACCCTGCAGTCGGTGATGTGAAATACTTTGTTGAGGAGCTGCCACCGCCAGTCAAAGTAGACCATACTGACCTTGGTGGACCAACGGTCTGATGCAGTATAGGGCAGCTTCACGTGCTCATGATAGAGTATAAAGCCATTCCAGCACAGTTATAAATTGTTCCCCTATTTCAGCCTTCAGGCTCCACATTGACTAGAGGGAATTCAATCCTTGTGTGCAGAAAGTTCACTGTGGAAAGAGGATGCACCTCTGGCAGTGCTGAGATCAGGACACAACTGTTCTGACTACCAGAGCGGATGCATCTGGCTCACGGGCAGCACTAAGGTACAGCTGAATATGACTGCACCTTTCCGCTTCTAACAGGACTGACCATGAATTGTTTTCCTCTCTTTCCAGGTTCTCCTTCAAGGGGTCCAGCACAGCTGTCAAGATGATCGCCTTAGGGAATGCCTCAGAAAACTGGAAGAGGAGCCTGTAGAAAGCTTCATTCCTACAGATCCCAAGAGGGAGTTTTAGCGAAGAAGAAAATGCATGCCAGGTTGAAATAAACACCCTCTAGATTTGAAGACGGGCATTTTTGCCCTAATACAGCTAAAAAATTGTTTCCTGTTTTAAAAAAAAGGCAGCAAAATAAAATATTTAAGATCATGTACAAAGGCTGCTGTGGTTTTACTTAGATGCTGAGGGACATCAAAGCAGCAAACAAGTAAAAAAAATAACATTTCAAAATCTCAACTTTAGTTCCCCCTGCCATGTGCCCCTTAGCTCTACCGCCCTAGTTTTCATTCAGGTGGAAGGGCTGCGGTAGCCTCCTGGGTTGTAAAGTTCTAGAGATGAGGAGCCACACTGGCATCTCCTCACCCAACACAGTTCTCAGATTTGGCTTCCTCCCTTTAAGAGGAGTCACGTCGCTTTTGATTTAGCCTGCAGTTCTGTTTCCTGCTCATATTCTATTTCGATGTAGGGTCGCTTCCTCCTGACTGGCCCCTTCAGTGGGGCTTTGCCCTTAGACTCGGGCTGACCACTTCTCTCTTCCTCCTCACTGGCTGTGGCCTCTCCTTCCTCTTCGCTGCTTGTTCCCAGTTTATCCATATCCTGGACAGAGAAAATAAGAGGTTAAATACAATCATGTCTGTTTCCAGTTCCTCAGCTTCAGAGCTCCCCTCCTTACAAATCAAATCCTTCCTGAGATACAATCTTAGAGCAGTACGTCTCAGCTTCTGTCTCCGGCCCTACACAGTTCTGTACATATTAAAATCAACAGTGCCACTGCTGTTCAAAAATCATGGGCTCAACTTCAAACATTTCCATGGCTCATAATACTATATTAGCCTGCAAGATAAGCTCCCTTGCCCTGAAATCTGTACTGTGTTTGGAAATAAAAATAGAGGTATAATTGAACTTTGTGCATCTACACAATTGTCATTCATCAGCCAAAGCCACTTAGCTCCTGTGTCGGTGCATTTTAGGCAATTGCTAAAACTGATTTGAACATTTTAATGGTGGTACATAATTTGCTGAATGCCCTGGCTTCTTAATCTAGTAATCAAGTCAGTAACACACCAGGGAATTTGCAATTTAAATATACTTATGCCCCAAGAGAAGGCATATATTATGTAACCAAGACCTTCAAGAGAAGGGGGGGGGGCTCTCAAGTTCAACCTTTCAGAAGAAAACACTGGTGAACCCTTTTTCCCACTGGCAGTGCAAGAACACAGCCTGCAAAGGAAGTTCACCAAAATTAAACAGTTATTTTTGAACTCTCAATTTGGAAAAAAAAACATTCAAGCTTTTGTGAATTAATGCTAGCTGCATTAGAAGATGAGTAGGTTTTTATACCCTGCTTTTCTCTACCCTAAGGAGTCTCAGAGCAGCTTACAATCACATTCGCCTCCTTTCCCCCACAGCAGGCACCTTGTGAGGTAGGTGGGGTTGAGAGAGTCCTGAAAGAACCGTGACTAGCCCAAAGTCACCCAGCAGGCTTCATGTGGAGGAGGAGTGGGGAATCGAACCCGGTTCTCCAGATTACAGTCTAGCACTCTTAACTGCTATACCACATTAAGTCATTGTCTTCTTGCCCGCAACCAAATAGTTGGGAATCCAGGAAGTTCCACCTAAGACAAACCAGGCCCTTCAGTTTGAGAGCTGTTTACTTAGCAAGGATCACCCAAACAAATTGGGCAGACCGCACTGTCAGGAGTGCTGACCACTCTAACTGTTAACTTTACGCTCCTGCTTGAGTTGGTGCTCGCTGGAAATCCAGGCCCTAACAACTGCTGAGCCTGCATTACAACTATTTTTGGCCTGTCACTTCTGTGTGTCAGTGCAGACTCACAGCCCTGGCTTGATGGGGAAGAAGAGTAACTAGAGTAGTTGAGAGGCCAGTGAGGAAGACACAGATTAAGGTCTAAAGCAAAAACTTCCTCTTTGCTGGTCAGGTCAGGCCTGGCAAAGCACTTGGCTGGGGCTCCTGCTTGAACACCCGGTTTCTGTATCACTGCTGCAAACACCCAGTTTCTTCGTTCTCCAGGCAGCAAGCGAAGAGTTGCAGGATCTCTTCTCCAGTGTTCCCTCTAAGCTGAGTTAATGTGAGCTAGCTCACAGTTTTTTAGTCTCCAGCTCACACATTTTTGTCTCAGCTCAGGAAGGAGGGCTCCAGAGCAAACTAATTTATGCAGTAGCCAAATCACCGGCTCACAACTTTAATGCCAGCAGCTCACAAAGTAGAATTTTTGCTCACAGCACAGGAGCAGGGTTGGCCAAACTTGCTTAACGTAAGAGACACACAGAATAAACGTCAGATGTCTGAGAGCCGCAAGACATGAACAAATATTACACGTTTTTACTGGGAAATATGCAAATCTGCTTGTCATTAACATTAGATGAGACTGCCAACAAAAGCGGTAAAAGCAGATATTGATAATGATATTTGTCCAATGAAAATTTGTTTGCTAATGATATTTAGCTTCCCCAGCCGCCCTGCCGGGAGCTGCACAATATGTGTGAAAGAGTCGCATGTGGCTCCTGAGCCACAGTTTGGCCACCCCTGGCTTAGAAGGAGCACTGCTCTTCTCTCCCCAGCACCCCTCAGATTCCAACACCAGAGCCCCTGCAACTTCCAACTACAGCCTGGAGGGGGCAGCACTTACCTCAAAGTCACTGAGATCACTCTCATCTACCTCCACAAACTCCCTCTTGTTTGAGTCCTGCAGGGAAAAAAGGACAAGCAAGAACTGAATACTTGAAGGAGCAGCTTTCCTTCTTCCCATCATTCTCTTTCCCAATCACCATTCATGGAAATCCAAACTTTGGCAACCTCAACTGCCCAGAAGCAGGCTTGGAGAAGGTGAAGAGGCACCCATCAACTCAGCCTGCATAGCAGCCAAATGAGCATTTTGCAAAGCCTCATACAGCAGGATTTCTCAACATGCCATGGGGCACAGTCCGAAGCCCACAGGACGACTCCATAGGCAGAGCTGCCTTTGTTAGGCTAGTCTCCTAAACCTAGGAAATTAAACTTGCCAGTGGATGAGGAATACTAGTGCCCCTCCAGGGCTCCCATGACATAATTTTACAGGAAGAAACCTTAGGGAAGGAGGGAACTGGGAACACAGACACACTAGAACCTTAAAGGGGCTGTACACAGAGAACAAAAGCCCTATTCATTAGAATTATATCACAAGCACAACATAAATGTACCAGAGATTTGCAAGGCCTCCTTCTAGGAGGACAACACTGCCAGGTTGCAAAAACATTACCTCCTCCTCGTTTTTCTCTGCATCCGAGTCAGACTCACTCTCAGCTTCCTGCTGTTGCAGAGCTTTATCGAAAGCGTGGATGGGGAAGTTGTATATATCACCATACTAAAAGAAAGCACATTGGGAAGGAAGAGACATCAGGAGAATTCCAAAGCTGACATGGCAAGGGCATTCTGTACCCTACAGAGACCTCCAAGCCCATTAGGGCTGTTGAGTTTGGATAACTTGGCAACAGATGTCCGCCCTTTCTCACTTGCACTCAAGGCAGATTACACAGAGTGAGTTGATGCAATAAACGGGATGGGACATTCAATGAACAATGAAACAGGAGTTCTGTCATAAAACCAAACAGAAGTCTAAAAACACAACTGAAGCAAAGCTTGAGTGTAAATACGGCACATTAAGTGATGCGAAAATCACACAGTAGGATCCTAGTTTCAGCAAGCTATGCATGGTAGTACAGACCGCAACACAATCCCTAATAATTTATCCAAGTACCTTCGTGAAGCATTTAGTATTGCCTGCCAAGAAAAGCCCTCTTGAATAATGCAAGATTATAAAGGCACCAAGCCTTTTAGTTCCATAAGATAATATGGAGTTAACATTCACTTTTGATGCTCTCTGAAGAATATGGAAGGTTGACACAGACAAATTGGAGGGTAAGGGCAGGTGGGGTATGATTAAAAACATGTGCATGCTGGAAAACGGAATAGAAAGCTATTTTTATTAAAGATTTTAGCAGCTTTATTTCAACTAGCTGAGGGGAAAGTTGTTTTAAACTGTTACATAACTGGTATTTAACCCCAGTTAAACCAAGTCAATAGGGAAACGACAGATGCTCGCTACCACAGAACACCCCTTGAGCAGATGTGACTAGTATCCGATGGAATTGTGGGAAGTCACTGCCTACTGAGGGGAAACAGCAGATGTTGTTAGATAGTGTACAGCTAGATATATTCCTATGGCTCCAGCAAAGCTTGCTTTAGGATGTATAGAAGACCATCTTGAGGTGGTTAACAATCTGATAGTCACAGCGGGTGATTTCCCACAAGCGCTGCTCCGTGCTCACTCCTCCCTTTTGCCCCAATGGTACGTGTCAATTTCACACAAGCTGCTGCGCGGGCGCATTTTGCCCCACAGCTTTGTGCGATTTTCCCCGCGTCTACTCAATCCTCAAAACAGGACTGAGTAGACGCAGGGAAAATCGCACGAAGCTGCGGGGCAAAATGCTGTCGGGCAGCAGCTTGTGTGAAATTGAAACGTACCACTGGGCCAAAGAGCAGCGCTTGTGGGAAATCACCCAGCATGTAAACAAAAAGACAGGGAAGACCACCACCACCCCAAGAAAGATATTTTTTAAAAAAAGAGGAGCAGCAGCAGCAGCATGGAATGCTCTGTATTGTGGGTACTGAATTTTTCACTGTGCCTGTTTTCGTTTTCTTAAGATCATTTTGAAATCATTATGGGGGGTGTAAAAAAAAGATCTAACAATTATGTGACTAAGTCCCTCTACTTCTATTTAACACCAGAAAAGGACTCTAGCTCTCATGGTTTTATGGAAAATCTTAATGCTGTTATAGCCTAAAGATATCCAATACTAAACATGTACCCTGAGAGATTACATGAGACCAGTGTTCCCTCTAAACTGAGTTAGTGTGAGCTAGCTCAGTTTTTTAGCTTCTGGCTCACAGATTTTTGTCTTAGCTCCGGAAGGAGGGCTCCAGAGCAAACTAATTTATGGAGTAGCCGAATCACTCCCTCACAACTTTAATGGTGGTAGCTCACAAAGTAGAATTTTTGCTCACAAGACTCCACAGCTTAGAGGGAGCATTGCATGAGACCCTCATTATTTGCAGAGGATCGA